CCAGCGGGGATGCTCTGCTCAGCTGAGGACACTGAGCTTCCAGAAGGAAGCCCAGTTGGATAGAGTCCAATGGAAAGTAACAAAAATGATCAGCAGTCTGGAAAACATGACCTGTACATAACGAGCGTGAGAGCTGGGACAGTGTAATCGAGATTGGGAGAACAGGGGAGAAGGAGTCGTGGGAAGACTAGTTCAGTAAGGAGTCTGCAGCTAGTGCTGCTGTGGGAGGATGTGGGGAGGACAATGCAGGGAGCTCAGGAGAGAAAATCTACCCCAAATTTTTCTGTCTTCTTCCTGATTGGGCTGCCTCCATGCCAGGTAGACCCAGGCTGGGAGCCAGCTGTAAGGGGCCAAGGTGGGCTTCGAGGAGAGTCAGTGTGAGAGGGAGGCTGGTGGCTGTATGGGAATCCTCACTCAAGTGGGAGAGGTAAGGAGTACATTGAGGAGTTAGGCATGGGTTCAGGGACTTAGAAACCATATCACAGTAGGAGTGCAATCACCAGGGGTCTGAAGGGAATGAGAAGGTCAGCAAGTCTCTGTGCCAAGCATTACAAACAGCTCACAGCCTCTGCGGGTGGTTGGCAGGATAAGAACCTGCAATGGTACAGAATATTGCTGCAAAGTAGAAGGTAATGACCTGGCTTCTGTCTGGCTGAGGCAAAGAATGATGGATGAGAACTGCAGCAGGCTGAGATTGGCCAAAGGAGTTCTCTTGATAACGATAATTAAACCTAGGGAGGTTGCAAGATCTCTATCACTGGAGGATTTTTGGCAAAGTTTGAGGAGACATGCATCAGTGGTGATTAGCATGCAATGATTGCTTTGGGGTAGGAATGCACTAGAAGACCTCCTGAACATCTTTCCAGACCTGTTTGCTCTAATCAAATGATTGTGCAAGTCAAGAGCCCACCCTGATCTTCAACTGCTGAGCTGTGGCAGAGCCCCCAGGAGCTATTTTCTCCTCTGGAGACTCATTGGACATGTAGTTGTGCCTGGGGCCGGAGAGGATCCAAGTGGGAAGAGCCTCATGGGGAGCAGTGCAGCTACCATGGGCATGGTTCAGTGTTCACGACAGGCACTCTGCAGCCACAGACTCCTTGCTGAAGTATGGGTTGCTGGAGGTGTGACCAAATGGACTGGGGTGGGAGGGAGATGCCACACATGATCATGTCATGTTTGTCTGTAGGCTTGCTGGAGATAGCTTTCTCTGGGGCCTTGCCTGGCTGCTTGCCCTGGCCCTTGCACCACTGTGCTCACGGGTAGCAAAGCCTCCATCGGTGCAGCAGAAAGGGGAGTGTGAAATGTCAAGTGACAGGCATCTACAGAAGCTTTGCACTGGTAAATGGAAGACTCCTGCCCAAAGCATTGTTACATTGTGTTTATTTTCTCTGTATTTGCAGAGTAAAATTGGGAGAAAACCCAGAATACAAGCAAGGGTAGTTGAGCAGCTGGGATCTTGATGTTTATACAAACTGTTGATGAAGATTGTAAGTAACCAGGATCATATATCCATTACAGCATGTGCTGCATTTATCAGATTAAGTATATAAAAATATTTATTAAATCACATATTATTGCATGCATTATGTTTTCCTGTGAGTGTAGGCCTGTCCTGAATTTCCAAGCCCCTCTGCAGCTGGCCAGCAGACTAGAAGTACTAAATAATCTTCAAACTTTATTAATACAAGCTGGACTAGAGTTGCAGATAAACTGTTGGACATCGAATTCCTGCTGCCTGGGGAGTCCTTTTCCTGACGAGCAATGTGAGCCTAACAAAGGGTAAATATCCCCTAAGCAGCAGTGAAGAAAACAAACAAGGAAATAAATTCTTCTTAGCACTTACATGCAAGAAATGCCATAGAGCAAATTTTCTGGGATACTTGGCACTTCCCTCTAGCTACAGCATTGTTCGTGGAGCTAGGTGAGTCCAAGCATGCCTGCCTGAGCACTGGCACAGGTCTGGCCTGGGTTATGCTTAGGAAACACCCTTTCAGACTGGCATTAGCTCTTTTTCAAGGTAGGGATGGGAGGTGAAAGGACATTTTTGGCTCAAACAGGGAAGAGTAGAAACCGTGGCTTAATTGAGTAAACTCTCTCTCAAAAAAGAAAAAAACACCCCTGCCCCCCCGAAAAACCCCTCTGAGTTTCTCTGCTATTTCCAGAACTGGACTAATTATTTAAGTGAACAAGGACAAAGGAGCAGGACTTGCGCTGTTTGTGTGTCTTGTAGTATACTAACTTTTTTGCAACACTTCTGTGGGGTTGTAAAGCCTCCCCAGCCTGGGTACCCACTGGTGCAGCATCAGTGAAAACTGGATATGGGAGCAGGGGCAGCAGATCTCCAATGCACCAGTAGCAGCCAGTGCCGTGGCATCAGCTGGTTGACTCATCACCACTGCTTTCCTCTGCAGTGGTTAGGATTGTCTAAGTGCCAAGTAATAACGAGCCTCATGGGAAATCCTGCTTCCACCAGCTTTAAGGACTTGAACACTGTGTGAGACTGCTGAATGGGAATGACAGACAGTGAATGGGAAAAAGCTTCTTCAGACCCTGTAGGGAAGGACAAAGAGTCTACTAGTACTTTGAACATTGTAGGGTCGTTTGCCACCCTACCAGAACAGGACCTGTTTGCAGGACCTGGTTGCAGGACATGTCAGGCCAAAGTAAAATAAGTCATTGTCAAGAGCCACAATGGGCAAAATAGCTGTTGCCCCCGGCTGGAAAGCCAGGCTGGGAACACTGTGGTTGCTGCAGAGAGAAGATTGGGGTGGCTACATTGTGGCTGTTGCAGAGGGAAGTCTTTTTGCAGTCACTGCCTCCAGCATTCCCAACTCCTCAGAAGACTCCAGCCTCTCCCAATTGGAGAACTGTGCTGCCCCATGCCTGTCCAATCTTGTCACCTCTTTGCCAACAGTAGGGTATGGGGAAGTGAGCACTACTGTGGGGAGAAGTGTGGCCGCAGACAATGCTTCCAAATGTCTCTCTGCCCTGGCACCAGCAAGAATAACAGGTCTTCATCCATTTCTTTCACAGTTCTGCCTCTTCCTGCTGGTCTTCTTTTCCAAGGGTAAACATCAATGCACACTCTATCCTCCTTGTTGGCAGCTCTGAGCTGAACATTGCTATGCTGCTAAGGAGATTTGAGCCATCTCCAATTTGGTTTATCTGCTCATTTCCTGACACGTCTGAAGTAGGCATTTTCAGGGGGCTAGCACTTGAATTCTGTGTAATTTCCAAGTGAAACTGAATGCCTTGAAATACCCTGCACAGGGTATAGTCTCGTTGATGCTGAAGGCTCAGACTAAATCCTGATGGTGTGAGCAAGGTCTCTTGGATTGAAGGTGAAAACAAGAAAGGAGAGGTGTCTCTGTGCAAACACCGCTTAACCCAGTGTCCTGGCGTAAAAAGTGTTTTCCCCTGGAGTTAGAAAAGTGGTAACCTCTGAGGTTGGTGGTGTTCTTGGTGTAGGGCCCAATCAGAAGCTACCTTTTGCTCCTTTGAAATCAACATATTGCAACAGGCTGGAAAAAAAGGGAGATGATGTAGCTGGAAAAAGAGAGGCAGCCATGGTTTGAGACCATGAGGAGAGAGGGGCCAGAGAGCCCCACTGGGGGCCAAGGGCCCTCAGCCCCCGGCTGGGGCTACGGAAAACTGGAACAGTGTTAAAACTGGATCGGGTGCCGTGATCAAATGCTGGGGGAGTTTCTCCGCTGTGAGTGGGCAGCAGAAGACAGAAAAGTGGTGGCAGAGGCAGCACGGAGTGGAGAGCTGTGGCTGAAAGCCAAGAAGATAGCCAGCAATCAGCAACATGGCATGTAGCCAGGCTGAGAGACCCAGAGATGTCCTGCAAGGAGGGAAAGCTGGCAACAGAGCAGAGAAAACTCAGCAGAGCTGTTTTGGGGTAAGACTGAATTACTTTCCCAAAACCCTAAGACCTCCTAGAAAGGAGGGGTGGGCTTCCAAACTCTTAGGGAGTTCTGAAATGCAGCAGCAGCTAGAGAGAGAGAGAAGAGCTGAGAACTCAGAGTCGTCCTGAGAGCTGGATCAAGACGGAATGCGGGGGAAGTGGCCTTGCCCCCCTGCTGCCACATTGGCAGTTGAGGCAGAGCAAAGGAGCTCTGTTAGAATGCCTGGGGCAAAGACTGAACTGAGAGCTGCCCTAAATGTTCTGACTCAGGAGGAGCTTGAATCCCCTGAGGAAGGGACTTTCACGAAGATGCCCTGCACTTCATGATATGATGTGGTGAGGCGAGCCTTTGACCCGGCTATCATGGTCCACGGGAGAGAGACCTTTGGCTGGAGCAGAAGGGCCGAGAGGTGAGAAGAGACCCCTTGCCTTGTAATGGAGAGAGAGAGAAAGATATTTTCCAACTACAACAATTCCAGCTATGACTGCTGCCTTGAAGAAGAGAGACACTGCTGCCCTTCTGAACTTTTATTGGAGGGAAAGGAGGAACTTGATCCAATGTAAATATATTGCTTTACCATAGGAGAGATAGTTAGAATTGTGTATATAATGTATTATTATATTTATTTGTGTAAGTAATAAACTGTAATATAATTCCTTTCCCCCCATACTGAGTTGTGTTATGTGTGGAAAACCCTCTCACACTGAAACAAGTTGTGGGAGGGGGGCTTGGATTTGGAAACTGGATTTTTGGGGCTCTCAAACCACCACACCCAGGGAAACAGACCTACACTAGGGACATTTTCCCATTTCCTCTCTCTTGAACTCTTGTAGCATCCTCCCAAAATGCTGTCTTTGTTTTCCTGGTAACCCAGCCTGTTTGTTGGTGCAAATCCTCCTCCTGCTTTTCCACCCACTGTTTCCCTGAAGAAATCAACCTTTGTGCCTCCTGTAGAGAGGTGAGGGTTGTCAACCTCTGCACAGAAGGTGCACCACTCACAGGTAAGTGCCTATGTCTGTGTTTGCACTGCTGCATGGCAGAAGAGAAGAAAATCAATTGCCACTCATGGGAATGACTTAATGACTTTGATACCTGTATAATAAAGCAGGTGCTCTTCAGAGCTGTGTCATCACCTCTACTTTGGGCAGACTGCACCTGGAAGGAAACAAAGATCTAGTGATAGGAAAAAAGACTGGAACACAATAAAAAGTCACATCAGTTTTATTCAGGGATCAAATAAAATTCTGTACAAAAAGATTTTGATTTACATGAGTCTCTTAAAAAAATTTCATTAAAACTGAAGTTGACACACCATATGGTTTCAATACCAATCCATAAACCAGACTATTTTCTGAATATTTCCTTCTCATCTGGACTGTAAAGATAAGGTCCTGAACCTTGTCTTCTGCCTTGCCCTTGTCTCCCCTCTCATCAACTTGTTGTCCCCAGGCTTCAGCAGAACATTAATTTCTTGCAGCAATATAGAGATCATAACAGTTCCAAACATCATGGGAGGGAAGAGACCAGGCTTGATTTGCATTAATTTATTCACTAAGGCTTCCCTTTTTCTGAGGAGCTTTTAGCTAATAGATCTCTCATTGGCAGGAACCAAGGTATAATTACATGATTAATTGTGCAGATGTGGCCACAGAAGAGACACACGCTGTTAATATTTTTCCACAGTGACTTGCCCCAGTTTGGAATGAAAACTACCTCTTTTTTTTTGGGGGGGGGGGGGGGGGGCGGGGAAACTGTGAACCACTGCAGCCACTGCAGATGGTTGTGTAGTGGAAAATCATGTTCTGGAATCAAGGAGGGTTTTCAGAGGGAGTTAATGACATGTGGATAGCTGGCATGGAACACTACTGGGAGTGGAGGAGACTTTTACCTCTAGTGCAAATCCAAGGTAGCCACTTGAAGTGATAGTGGAGATTCCTCTGATTGCCCCAGGAACCTTCTCATTAGGAACAGGGAGGATGAAAATGTGCTTTTGTGCTCCTACTCCTTGGAAGCAACAGGAGAAAATGAGACCAAGCCTCTGGGTGAGTGACCTGTTGAGTATCTGAGTGATAGCACAGCCAGTGCTCCTTGACACATAGTCTGAGCTTCAATGGCCTGTCCTGGCTGTCACTGTCACAAGGCTGTGGAAGGGTGGGTAGTTTGCATATCAGCATTTGTCATTAGCAGCTTCCTTTTGCTCACCCACTGCCTGGCAGCCCTAATAGGGAACCCTAGGGGGTGGGTTCTGCAGTTCAGAGTAGAGGGGTGAAACCTGAGTTAACCTCAAATGAAAGGAGAATTAAGTACTTGGTGAACAAAACCTACCAAGGAATGCTTCTGTGGTTGCAAACTCCAGAGCAGTGAACACAGGCAGGTCCTGGAGGCAAGGCAAGCTCAGGTTCACAGAGAGGAGTACATAGCTGTATTCTTCTCCCTTTGAGGAAAGTCCAAGAAGTCCTTGTGATAGTATATTTCCCCTCTTAAAATTGTACCTACATTTTGTCACAGAAGTATCTCTCCTAGCTTCAGTAAAGGACATGCAATATCTAAATTTTCTAACCTTGCCTGACACTTAAGGCTTGCTCTGGGCAAATATATTTTTAGATTCAAACTTTCCTCTCTGATATTGCTTCTAATTATACACCACTATGAACAAGTTAAGAATTCTGCACATAGTCATTCCATCTTCCCTCCAGGCATCAGTTATCAAGACCATAGTGTTTTGTCTCTTTTAAACTCTTCCACCAAGCATGATGCTGGGGGATTTCCAGCTCTGAGGATCTTGGGACCCCAACCCTAAACCTAACCTCACCTTAACTTTGCCATGGGGAAGAAGAATGGTGCTTCTCAAAGGTACATTAAGAGTAAAGGGCTTTAGTTGTTTATTTACAGAGTATATTTCTCTTTCTTACTTATATCTTGTTTTCTTGTCTTTTTGCATGCACAGCCTGAGTGTTTTTGTGCACAGCAAAGGCTGTTAGATGTCTTTTTCAAGGCAGTACTTTTTTTTTTTTTAACAAAATTCTCTTCTAGGGTTCCACCTGAAATAAATTTCAATTTTGAAGAGGAACTGCAAGATATCTGGACTCAGCATGATGCTAACATTTTCTTCTAGGAAGAGTTATATGCATTGTTGCTATGTACAGCCTTGCTAGAAATGCCTGTTGATTTCCTACTGTTGCTTGTCTAGAATGATTTCAGTTTCTTGTAGCTTTTCCAGTCTATAACCATTTGTGCAGAAATTTCCCATTTGTGGTTGCAGTGCCTGACTTAATGCAAAAGTTTCTCTGGAAAGTTTTCTGGAACAATAATAAGACTATGGCTTGAGAGAGACAGACAGAAAAAAAATGTACTAAAATGGCACCTTATTTCTTCTACAGTAGTGAGCCCCACTCACGAGGATGGCGGAAGTTTATGCCATGCATTTGCAAATTTAAATACTACTGATGCCACAGTGTGCATTGCTTGAGGGATATATTTCCTTTTTACTTAGAAAATCAAACACTATAAATGGTACACTGGAAACTCAAGAACTAGTGTAGCATGTGTAACCAATTATTTGTTTGATTTAATATTTTTATATAGTTAATTTAACACTGAGGACAAGATGGACTCAGCAAAGTGATGCAAGAAAATGTTTTTTGAAGGGACCAAAGGCAGCAGGACTGGGACACAAAGACCCACTTCAAAAGGACCTGGTACACAGGAGTTTTATCCGAGTGCAAAAAAAAAAAGGACCACAATATAGCAAATAGCTGAGAAAGGGATATTTTCCACCAAGGCACTCTTTTTTGCCTGAAATATGAAAGCAAGCAAGAACCCCGGAGAGTAGCTGAAGGGCCAGGTGTGTTTGCTCAGACAGGGTGGCGCAGTGGCAGCCAGGGACACCCAGACCTGCCATTTGGCTGCAACCCACATAAACCTGAAGAAGTAAAGAGAACCACTTCACTTTGGGCTTTGACCTGCAGGCGATCCATAAAAATAAAGAAAAAAGATGTCTGCTTTCTTCTCTCTGCTGTTTCAGAGATCCTTCCTCAAGGCAGCAAGGACCACGCTACAGGCACTTCTCCCTGGTATTCCCTTTGCACCTGTGCTGAACATGAGGGTCTCTCACATGTCTAGTGCGAGTGTGCTATGAGGGATAAACACTGTCGTGAGGGATGAATACTGGGGGGAATAAATGGAAACAACAGTGTGAAGATTTCAAGGACATGCCAAAAGCAGCATGGCTGGCAAGTGCTTATAGGCAGACTCTTCTGAGCAGTGACGTAAAGCAGAGCCTGGCATGGTCACAATGAGTCTTTCATGAGAGGAAGCTCTTGGGCTGTCTGAAAACCTGAAAACTAGCAAAGAGGAGGAGTTAGGTGGGCTTCCTGTAGGGCTGCTGTAAGAGACATGCCATGGGCAAGACCCTCTTCAGATCACCAGTTGTCTGTTAATGTTTCACTGCCAACTACAGTGGCAGGCTTTGGTGTGGACTAAACTCCCTTCCCAGAAGTTGGCTGCAAGCATGCACTCCAGGTCAGGAAATGTGGGAAATACAGCAAGTCACTGGAAGAGAAGTTTCCTGTTACCAGCAAGCGCTGTCCCAGTCAACATTGCCTTCTCCAGGTGGGCTTCCATGAATGCACAAGGTTGGAGGAAGAGGTGGGAGAGAGTCCTGTGGCTGCACAGAGTGCTGTGGGCATGTGGATGACACTTTCCCCCTGAGCCACAAGCAGTGTCTCCCTTGCCTTGTATCCATAGCTGTTCTGGCCTACCCTTGCTTCTCTCCATGTCAGTACCCAGGTGCAAGGAGAGAGACATCTGCCTCCTCTGTTTCCTTCTCCACTACTCTTTCTACCTCCTCATGACTTTCCTACTCCCTGCAGCTCTCAGCATCACCTATGACAGCACAAACTAGTGGGATGTGGCATATATATACCCCATTTAATGCTACAATTTTAATGATGTTGGGATAATTGCTCCTCTTTTCCTTTGCAAGTTTTTGGGCAAGGGGCAAAGCAGAAAACGTTGCAAAGTGGACTGGATCTTAGCACCAGGGTCCTGTCCAGGGAGCCAGGGTCTAGATATGCTAGTCTGGGGTGACTGCCAGCAAGACAGAGCCTGGGGACTCGATCCTGAGCCTTGACTGAGTGTGAATCCTGCCTAGGGCACCTCTGTCATGCTTTCCTTGGTGGTTCAAGGTGGATTGTTTCACTCATTCATAGATGGATTCCCAATCATTTGGTGTTTTTTGAGTTGTTTGCAATGAGGCACTAGGGTCTCAACTTTAGAATGAAGTTTTCTACAAGCAGTTGTAGCTTTGCCTTGAATTATTATATCCTATGTAATACCTGAAACTTTGAAATCTAGTCAAGGAAATCTGGCAGTCAGAGTAAATGCGTTCTTTTTTACCTGGACTACTGCATGGAGAAATGTGAAACAAAGGAGTGTTGTGGAGCCCTTGGATACCTCAGGGAAGAACACTATGGAAACTCACCAGGTAAACTGGACCTTTCTAGATGAGGTTTTTAACCAAGTGTAAATAATAAATAGGTTATGCCCCAAACAGCTACCATTGTTTGCAAGTGGTGACCAATTCTTGCAGTTGATGTCTATGACAGAGGTGAAGCAAGAAATGGATGTTTGGATCAGTGCATGTGCAGCAGTTAAGTCAAGCATATAACAGGTTCAAAGCCACAGAAGAAATATCTATTCATAACTCTGAAGAACTAGCCTTTGTGTTTTCACTCCAAACTACTCCCAGGCACAGAATATCTTGGGTTGATCTGTGCCTAACTAGTGCTTCCCCTAGTCATCTGTTCCTGACAGAGGCCCCAGGATAACACATCAGCAAAGTTGCTGATCACTTGATTTGTCTTCTGGTTAATCACACATGGGTGAGTCCAGATCCCCAGGAAAAGCCACTGGGTCCAGGTCATTGAGGTTCACACAATTTTGTGACAAAGGAGAACTGTATCAGGACCAGGGCTGCCTCCCAGGTCATTGGTTCTCTGATCAGTGGTGAGGACTTTGGGACCTTTATTTGAAGGCTGCTAACTGAAGAGCTTTTAAGGTGTTGCAAGCTCAAGTACAGCAAAGCCTTTTAGCACTTGTTGAACTTTAGGAATATAAATGAACTCTGGAAGATTAATACTGTGCTTAAAGGCTTT